AATATCTTAACCTCCGTTTGCGATTCCCAACACAGCAGCAGTAAGGACTTATCGCGCGGCTGCCGACGGATCGCGCAAGACCCCCTGCAGGGTCTTTAACCTACCTCCGAAACCCCAGGGGGGGCTGGGGTTTTTCGATATGTCATTTTTTCAAATGCCGGCGCTCCGCGAGTCCCCCTTACTGCTGCTTTTCAATTTTTACTGAACCGGCACTAAAACAAACCCAAACGATATATTTTTCAATCAAGGAGAAATTGTATGATCCCAAGATAATTTTAATAAGAATTTTTGGTATTGAAATTAAAGTTATAACTTCTTATGATCACATCAACCCATAACCTATTTTATCTATGACAGTTTTTATTTGAATTCATTGTAGTATTTCACAAAATATTTTGTCGACTTGTTTTATTTAATTAATTTGTTCATAAGTTTAGCAGCTTCAAAAAAATAAAATAAATAAAATAAAATTATCGAATCTTTTTGCTAAACATGAGATCTAAAAAAATCATAATACCGTGGTATCGTCAGTTCAGTCGTGTCATTTTAGTCGTAAGAACATATAATWAACTGTTATTAAAACGCAAATAAGAAATACAAATAGTGCATTTACGAATATTATACGACTTTTAACTATATCTTGATTAAATAAGCTTACCTTGAAACCTTTAAGCTAAACTCGAAGTGTCGAAGTTCTCAGCGAAAAATAGGTTGTGCTTGAGTTTAGCGTAACTCAAAAATATTATTTCAAAACATAAAACTCGCCCCCATACTGAGCTCCCTGGCTTTGTTTTTCCTCGACTGCATCGAGGTAATCCATGAGTCACCCTTGTTGTTATTAAGGGACTTTGGAAACGTGGACTAAACGTAGAAAAAAGAAGAATATATATATAATTACCACTTATTTTAGAAACATACGATTAGCCCGCCAATTTTTGCAAAACTGTACAGAACCCATAGGCAGTTTTGCTGCCGGGGACACGAATGAAAAACGTCCGGCTGCTCTGAATCCGTATGCAAATTAGTCAAAACATAAGTAAATTTGACTTTCAAACATGCCTGATAAATTGGACTTCACGAAATGCCAAAACTAAGTGTCCATGCTTGAAACGTAAGGCTAATTCTTTCATATTGTGTTTGCTAATAAAGTATCTTGGTCT